TCTCTCTCTCTCTCTCTCTCTCTCTCTCTCTCTCTCTCTCTCTCTCTCTCTTTCTCACATCCAACACTCAGGATTGAACCTAAAGCCTCATACATGCTAGACAAGTACCATGTCCCTGAGCTGTGTATCCAGTCCTCTTTTTAATTTTTATTTTGAGATAGTCTCTTACTACACTGCCTATGCTGGCCTTGAACTTTGTACCTAGGTTGGCCTTGAACCTATGATTCCTCTGCCTCATTCTCCAGAATAGCAGGATTGCGAGCCTGTGCCACTCCTTTCCTTCCCTGCTCCTTCTTTTCCCCACTCCTCTTCCTACCCCCTGCCCCACCTCTGTGCCTGGAATTGAACCCGTGGCCTTGCATGCTAGGCTAAAGGCTAGACCACCACCACTGACCTATACCCTTACTTTGGCATATAGTGTCACCATATAACAAAGTAATCCCCTGATTATTTTGAGCCTAGATCTCACTGTGTAGCAGGTGCATAGTATTTTGTAGTTCATCTTGACCTTGAACTCAAAATCTTCCTGCCTTAGCTACGCAAGTACTGGGGTTACAAGTCACTAGCTCTGTCAATGGTTAGATCTTCTGTTTATACTTAGGACAGAGCATGGCTCCCTTAGGTCATGGGTCATCACACCAATTGGGGGCGTAGGGATGGAGGGTTTGAGATAATTAGATGTCCCACAGGTAGTGGTCCTTACGTGCAAGATTTCCTCATATTTAGCCTCCATGTCCTCCACGTGGGCACGAAGCTGTGCCAGGGTTCCGTCTTGCTTTCTGAGGGCTTGCTCAGCCTCTTCCCTTGCTGTCTTAGCCTCTCTTTGGCAGGTTTCTAGGGAACAGGGCAGAAAGAAAAAGAAGACAGGACAGTGACACTATATACCAAGAACAGTAACCAAAATACCTAAAGAAGCAGCGTTACAGAGGCTGTTACAGCCGTCCAGGGTCATCTGCTTTCCTGAGGTCTCTGTAGACTTACTGAGGTACATCGGGGGCGTAGAGGGCTTGAGGCAGAAGATGGGTCCAAAGTCTGCTGTTTGTTACTTACACAGTATGGGACAAGTCTCTCTGAGTCGCCATGTCTTAAATGTTTGGCTTCATTTTGTTTGTTTTATTTAAGACGGGATCTTATGTAGCCCAGGCTGGCCTTAAAATCTCCATGTAGCCAAGGATAACCTTGAACGCCATATCGTTTTGCCTCTCCCTCTCAGGGTTGGTATTACAGACTTGTACCACCTAACATGGTTCAGTGTTCAGTTTATCTTTATAAATTTATTTTTAATTTTACATCTCCGTTTTTAAAACAATTTCCTCTTTCTCCTCCTCCCCCTCCCCGCCCCCGTGTGTGTATGTGTGTGTGTATGTGTGTATTTGCTTGTGGAGTCCAGAAGAGGGCATTGGGTTGGATCCCCTGAAATTGGAAGTATAATGTTTTCAAGTCACCATGTGGGTGCTGGGATCAAAGCCAGGCCCTCAGGAAGAGCAGCCAAGGTTCTCAACTATCAAAACCCCTCTTTCTCCAGCTCCTTCTTTATCTTGAGAGGGAAAATGACTTATGCTCCTTATGTTTGCTGTGACCTTAACTGTGAACATGGGTGACAAGGCACCACATACAGAAGGGGCTCAATAAGTGTTGACTTTTATTTTGAAAGAAGGCCAAGGTCAGAGATGGAGTCCCTGTCCTGTATATAAAGTAGCTCATGAATATTTATATCCAAATCAAAGATATTTTACAATAAGAAAACTTTGCAATAGGATGTGATGGCTCACACCTAAAATCCTACAACTCAGGAGACTGAGGCTGGAGGATCACTGTGAGTTCAAGGCCACCTTGGGCTTCTGAGGAATAAAAAAGACTTGGGAGGGGCCTGGAGCAATGGCTCAGCAGTTAAGTGCACTGGCTGCTCCTCTTGCAGAGGACCTGGGTTTGGTGTACATGGCCCACAGCAGCTCCAGTTTCATGGGAACTGATGCCATCTTCTTTTTTTTGTTTGTTTGTTTTGTTTTGTTTTGCTTTGGAGACAGGGTTTCTCTGTGTAGTCCTGGCTGTCCTGGAACTCACTCTGTAGACCAGGCTGGCCTTGAACTCAGAAATCTGCCTGCCTCTGCCTCCCAGGTGCTGGGATTAAAGGCGTGCGCCACCACTGCCCGGCATGATGCCATCTTCTGACCTATGTTTTATTATTTGGTTGGTTTATTGGTTGATTTAGCAAGTAGAAATGTGAGGCTTTCTACCAGGCTTTGAGGATACTGAAGTAAACTAAGTCTAATGTTTTCTGTAGTTTGGTTATAAAAGTTGGCTAAACTAATAAGGAATATGGTTTGCTTAATACAGACAAGGCAGTGAAAGGGTTAACTGCTGGACTTGGGGAGATTAAGCAAAGGGAGAAATGGGGTGACACTTACCTCTCTTTACCTCTGTCTTAGAGGCTTTTTTTTACTTCCTTCTTTTTTAGATTTATTTATTTCGTTATTTTATGTGTATGGGTGCTTTGCTTGCATGCATGTATGTGCACCATGTGGGCGTCTGTGGAGGTCAGAAGAGGACCTTAGCTCCCCTCTGGCTGGAGTTACAGGATGGTTGTGAACCACCATGTGGGTGCTGGGAAGCGATTTCGAATTCTTCGTAAGAACAAGTGCTGTCAACTACTGAGCCAACTCTCAGCGAGGCCAACTCCAGCCCTAACAGAGAGGTTTGTGACACTGAACTCTGTTCAGAGGAGAACTAGGGTGACGGTGACCCTAGTTAAAGCTCAGCCAACAGACTACAGACATCTAGACTAGAGCCTTCAAAGTCCACTCGTCCATGCTGGGTCTCGTTACTGAGCCTGGGAAAGAAGGGGTGAGGATGGGGAGCTACCTAGCTGCTCCTTTAGACCTCTCACTTCCTCTTCCAGCTGCTTGCTTCTGGTCCCCAGCTCCTCTTGCAGGGCTCGACGCTGGCGTCTCATCTCTGAGGTAGGAGCCATAGGCAGCAGGGACCAAGGTAGGGATGGACACATGAAGAGAGGAAATAAAGTTACATGTAGGGAAAATCTCAGCGGAGGAACAGAACTAAGAAACTTGGGAGGAAATAAGACCCCCTCACCCATATCTGTTTAGGGGGGATTTTGGTAATCCACATTTTCCCAGGGATCTATCTTTGGTTCTCAGGACCCTGCCTATGCAGGGCAGGTAGAGACTAGGTATGGCAGCTGGACTCCCTCTTCGTTTCCCTTCCTTGCATTCCCTGACCCTCTTGGTTCCAGGTCCGTCTCCTGCCCACCTGATCAAACATACCTGCATATGCAACCTTCCCTTCACTTTGGGTTCTTTCCAGTTCCGCTTCCAGCCCTTGTACTCTCTGCCTCAGCCTGTCTTCAGAAGCCTTGGCTCGGCGAGCCTCTTCCCTCTGTAGAGCTGTGAACAGTCTCAGAACCCTGGCTGAGGATCTGATAGAATCAATCACCATAGCCTTGAACTATGTTCTTTTTGGGAACTTGGCAGTTGTCAGCCTCTTATTCAGTGTCTCTCACCCCTGGCCCCTTGAAACTCATAGAGTTTTCATTCCTACAGGGTCAATAGCCTCTCCATGTGTTCTGGCTACTAAAAAAAAAAAAAAACAATGGCTTTCCTGAGCTTCTGGTTAGTTTCATGGTAGACTGCTTGCCTAACATGAATAGGGTTGTGATTACACTCCCAGAGTCAGGAGGAGAACAGTTTCTTCATCAATCTTTACTGCCTAGCCCCTCCTCACAATCTTTGTCAACAGAGAATGGCTGGCTTGGTTTAGCTCTGGATGTAGTTCAAACTTCCAGTTCCCCGAGAACCCAGAAATGCCCCATGTGCCGTGGGCTGCATGGCTAGTTCTATGTCAACTTGATACAAGTAGAGTTATCAGAGAGGAGGGAGTCTCAGCTGAGAAAATGCCTCCATAAGATCAGGCTATAGGTAAGCCTATAGGGCATTTTCTTAACTAGGGATTGATAAAGAGGGCCCAGCCCATTATGAGTAGGACCACCCCTTGGCTGGTGGTCCTGGGTTCTATAAGAAAGCAGGCTGAGCAAGCCATGGGGAGCAACCCTTGTAGTAAGTAGCACCCCTCCATGGCTTCTGCATCAGCTCCCGTCTCCAGGCTCTTGCCCTGTTTTGAGTTCCTGTCCTGACTTCCTTCAATAATAAACAGTGCTTTGGGGGCTGGAGAGATGGCTCAGTGGTTAAGAGCACTGACTGCTCTGCCAGAGGTCTTGAGTTCAATTCCCAGCAACCACATGGTGGCTCGCAACCATCTGTAATGAGATCCGATGCCCTCTTCTGGTGTGTCTGATGATAGCTACAGTGTACTCACATACAAAAATAAACCTTAAAAAAATCAAATATTAAAATAAACAGTGCTTTGGAAGCACAAGCCAGATAAACCATCTCCTCCCCAAGTTGCTCTGGCCATGGTGCTTCGTCACAGCAGTGAGCACCCTGGCTAGGACCTGTCATTGCTGCTGTGGCCTGAGGCTCCATGCTTCTTACCTAAGCGGTCCTGAAGCAGCTCCTTCTCTAGCATCACCAGCCTGTGCTTGGCCTCAGCCTCCACACCTGTTGTGGCAAGACCACAGAGTCTCAGGCTATGCTGCTCTCAACACTACCCCATCTTCCTCCCACAATTGTTCTTATGGGATGAAGATCACTGAGTGATGGACGCTCAATGGGAGAATCTGACAAATTCACAGCTGAGTCTTCACTTGTACTTGGTGGGTGCTCAAAAGAAGGGTGTCATAAAATTATGACAAAGGCAAAGGGCTAGATGGGGCTCCAGGGGGAGAGAGGCATTCTCTGGTTCCCCAGCCTGGCAGAATCTGGACTCAAGATTCTGAAGAAGGGCAAGAAAGCTTCATTTTAGCCAACTGTGGTGGCACTACCCAATCCCAGCACTAGGAAGACCTGGAGGATATGTTTGAGGCTCACCTGGGTTCCATAGTGACCCTGTGTCAGAGGAAGAAAAGACAAAACCAAAACAAACACACTCCATCTTGTTGCCCAGGGGGCTTGATTCCCTCTGAGGATCTCTGTGTGGACTGTGGATGTGGACATACAGGGGCACCTTCACCCACTGTGACTCACCAGGACTGAAGTTCTTTTTCTTTGTCCTTGCTCCAGCTTTTCTCCCCTTTCGTTTGGCTTTAGGTGGCATCCTGCCGTCCTGGCGAAGGGAAGACCTTCTATGTAGGTCAGTGTACAGACATGCTTTCCTGATTCTTACACTGAGTTGGGAGTCTCTGGAGCCTCAGAATTCTAGTCTCCCAGTGCATCTTACACTTTCCAGAAGCTTCGATTCTTGGTCTCCTGGGACCCTTAGGGAGGGCTGGGATTGGTGAGGGAGAATAATCCTACGTGTAGCAGTTAGCCTCTTAGAGAAACTTCTGGACCTGGTCCCTTCTCTCTCCCCAACGTGTATACTCTCCCCCTTCCTACCTGCAAGACTCTCTCTTGCTTGTGTGGTGTCTCCCTGGGAAATGACACGCCAGGGGTGGGGGTGGGGTAAAGAGAGACCCAAACAGATAGAGCCTAGGGAGGAGCCTGGGTTCTGGGAGCCAATCCAGGGCGCAAAACTTCCTCAAGAGGCAGGACCAAGAACTGGGATGTTGGGTTTTCTGGAGACTGCACGTTGCCCAGGCAACTGGGAAACATAGGCAGGTGGGTGAGCTAAGTCAGCTCATACAAAGGGAAGCTTCTCTTTTTACCTCCATATCCTAGCTCTAGAGAAGAGGCTTTGGAGCGGAATAGGTATTATTCATGTCTACACAGGCACTGCCTGTGGTCTGGAGACTCTCCAGGCTAGGAATCTAGAAATTTACGATCTGGAAGAACAGTGTTTTACAGACCTAGAGGAAAGGCAGGGACAGTAGCCATCATGGCTACTTTATATCCGGAGGTCTCGCGAACGCAGTGACGTTATTTACTTTAAAACTGAAGGTTTGCTTCAAAAAAGGCCACTATGGTGTGTGAGGGAAACGCATTGTGACCCAGGTAGTTGCAAGTTTTCCACTTAACGGAGCCATGGACTTCAGAATGCTGACCCAGAGAGAGCGGCACAAATTAGGCAGAGTCAGTCATGATGGGTTCGCCTTCATTTTGCTCAGATTGAATTTCTTGGTGTATAAGTTTTGTAGCTCCTGAAACCCCTAGACTTCAGTGGTGTGTTTACAGGCCTTTTTATTTTCTCTCTCCAGTCAATCTTGCCTCCTCCCTCTTATTTCTTTATGAGGTTTAATCTGCAGACAGGTGCAGCCCCCAGACACCCTGCAGCATAAAGTTGGTTAGGGCTCCCTCTAGTGGACTTGCTTGACCTCCTGCATCTCCTAAATTTTGCAGTTTAATTTCTTGGGCAGTGTTGGGTGAGATCCCCTTTACAGGGTGCTTTTTAGGATCTTATGTATAATTAAAATTTGATTGTGGGCAGGGACTATGTATGACTGGTAGCCTGCTACTGCCATCCCTCCAGCTGGGAGAGATCCATCTGGAACTGTGCCATGGCTGGGTACTATAATGTCACCATACATAGAATTTAAACATGCCTTCCTCCCTGTGGATTATGGAGCCTACAGATCCTTTTTAGGCATGTCTGTCTATTCTAGTCCCTGAAAATGTTGGTCAATTGCATATTATCAGAAGCAAATCTGCTGAAACAGCCACAAGATGTGGTACTATAAAATCTCTCTATACAGAGAAACCCTGTCTCGAAAAACCAAAAAAAACAAAATGAAATGAAATAAAAAAATAAAATAAAATAAAATAAAATAAAATAAAATAAAATCTCTCACCTGTACAGAGCAAGCAGAATATTAATGCTGTTTATTTAACCCTGTGGCACTTTAGTTACTGTAGAAAAGAGTGTTTTTATTTTTAATTATATTATATATGTGTGGGTTTGTGAGCACAGTGCTGGAAAAAAAGGGCTACAGGAGAGCATTGGGGCCCCTTTGGAGTTGGAGTTACGGGTAGTTGTGAGTCGCTCATCAGTGTGGTGCTGGGGACCAAACTCGAGTCCTCTGCATGAGCAGTACTCACTTTTAACTGCTGAGCCATGTCTCCAGTCCCATTCTCTGGACATTTTATAGAGTCAAGAGTCCTACTTGTCTTTGTGACGCTTCCAGCCCCTGTAATGTAGGCTGGTGACCCCGTGCACTCTTCCTGGATGTGGAGAAATAGCATTTTTCACTACGCTTTCACGTATTCTCCCTTCAGAATCTCTCCTCCCTTCCCTAGAATACTGTGAGAGTTCCTGCCCTTTCCTTCCCAGGAGCATCCCAGGGACTTCTTTCCCTGAATCGCTGTCACTCGTGTTGGTGCTTGGAAGGACACATTGAGGATGACAGAACACAAGCTACACCTCTGTGTTTTAGGAGACCATGCATTTTACAAACATGTTCAGTCAACCGACTCTCAGGTGCAGGATCAGGATGTGGTTTGAGGTCAAGGTGAAGTGGAGTTAAAAAAAAAAGAAAAGAAAAAAGAAAAGGATGCTGTGTGTCACGTGATGAGCTGGTCCCAACGGAACCCAGAACAGGGATGGCGTTTTGCTCAGCAATTCAGCCCCATCTTTCGAAAACAAACCAAACAAAGCCTGTGAGAAAAAGGCCAGCCCTCCCTTCTCTTTCCATTCACATCAGTTTAGAAGCAACGATAGGAAAGACCATTTCAGCAGACCTCGCTTTCTCTGTTAGATTGGGTGGGGGTGGGGGGGACAGCTGGAGACATACGTCCAGTAGCTAAGGGTACGTGCTGCTCTTCCAGAAGAACCATTCAAGTGCATACACACATTCGGATTGTTAAAATTACATCTTAAAAATTTGTATTGCGTTTAGCGTGTTTGTGCATAGGCACAGTCAATCACAGAGCACATTACACGTCAGAGGACAACTTACGGGAGTTGGTTCTCTTCTTCTTCCGTGTGGCTCTTGGGGATTGAATCCAGGTCATCGGGTCTGGCAGTACGCACCTTTACCAACTAAGCCGTCTTGCTGTCCTTTGGATAAGATCTACCCAAGAGGGCTTCTGTTTGCTTGTCTTTTGAGAAAGGGTCTTACTGTGTAGCTTTGACTGACCTGGAACTCATGTTTCTACCTCTGTTTCTTCAGGGCTGGAATTAAAGGTGTGCTCCAGCCACACCCTGATCTAGACAAGAGTTTTGAGGAGATATATAGGACGGACAATCATTCACTTTTATTCAAATATGAGATTGGTTACTTACACATTAAAAGAAATGTGGCCTCATCAAAGATACAATGGCCTTGACCTACAGCGCAGGTTCTCAACCTTCCTAATGCTGTGACTCTTTAATACAGTTCCTTGTGACCCCCCCACCATAAAATGATTTTTATTGTTGCTTTATAACTGTAATTTTGCTATTGTTATGAATTATAATGTAAATATCTGTGTCTTCCAATGGTCTTAGGTAGTCCCTGTGATCCTCTTAGGTGATCACAGGTTGAGATCCACAGGCCTACAGGAACTATGAGCTGAGCAGAGTGACATACTTGCATAGTCCCAGCTACTTGGGAGGCTCTGGTAGGGGGACACTTTGAACCAGGTATTTAATGTCAGCATGGGAAACACAACGAGACCTGTCTCCAAAAGGAAAAAAAAAAAAAAAAAGGGAGAGTGGGAGAAAAGAAAAAGGAAAGCAGCCATTGCTTAGGACAACGGGATGATAAAAACATTTTTCTGATTGTGTCTCTGACTGCACAGAAAGAATTACATGGAAGAAAGTCTGTTTCAGTGTGGCCCATGCATCTCGCTTTTTGATTTTTACAAGATTGGCCTGGGTTCAGCCAATAAGTGTGAGGCGCCAATCCATGGCCCTGGCCTGAGGCTTTTTCCATCAGTGTGTCTGCAAAAGGTCCAGTCTTCTAGGAGAAAATAGGAGGGCAGCAAAGGCTACTGCAATCCAGAGCCAGGGAGCTACCACCAGGAAGTGGAGAGCCTGTCTACTGCTGATGCCTGGAAGGGTCAAAAAGGGTGATGGCAAAGCTCGGAGGGCTTGTTGGATGGGAAATTGGTCTGGCAAGGTTAGTGGAAACAGGTGGGGTGTGTGTGTGTGTGTGTCCTTCTCAGCAGGAAACACAGCTTTGCAAAGGCCTAGAGATGTGTGGTTCTCAGATTTCTGGAATTAGAAAACTGTGCCCATCTTCTCTGGGCTGGATTCTGAGCTATTAAAAAATACATATAAAACATAGTGTGGTTTTCAGTTCCTCTCTTTGCTTCCCTCTGGGGGAAAAGATCTCCTCCGTCCTTGGCCTCTTCTCTTCTGGTGGACAGACAGGAGGTTAGGGGTATGGAGAGGTCAGGGTATGGGGACTGCCCTCTGAAGATAAGGATGGCACTGCTGACCCCTGCCTGGGGGCCATGACAGGCTTTCAGTGATTGGGTCACTGTCTTTTGTGACTTCTGATAGCTGTCCTTCTCCTAGGATATCAGCACAGGAGTCAGTGTCAAGGTATCCTGATGGATGCTCAGGTTCCTGGCAAATCCTCCACCTTTCTCTTGGTTAGCAGAGAGATGGCAGCCTCCGGACATCTGAGCCAGCAGTGAGGGTTCTGGAACAGAAACGACACTGAGATTAGATGCAACTCTTGGTGATACTGTGTATATAGCAAATTCTGATGGGCACTTAACAGCTACATTTACAGTTTACGTCAGAGTTTTGCTGGGTTTCAGATTGCCTCCTCCTAGTGATTCAGTGCCGGTGCTCGGTGGACTCACTCTTGGAAATCTTTATTTTAATTTTTAACTTTGAGACGAGGTCTCTCCGGAGCCCTGGCTGTCCTGGAATTCACTCTGTAGACTAGGCTGGGCTCAAACTCAGAGATTTGACTGTCTCTGACTCCTGAGTGCTAGGATTAAAGGCAAGTGCTTCCCCTGCCTGGCCAACTCAACTGATGTTTGAAGAATGATCTAGGTCTTAGAAGCATCCTCCAGGTAGAGGGAACACACTCAGCGATGGTGAAGAAAAGGTTGCTGTTGTATTGTGTGACTTGGTAAGTTATCCAGCACAGGATCTATGTATCATAGGGTAGTATACAGTTTAAGTAAGACTGTGACTTGATTTTATTACAGATGCAGCAGTGGGGAGGGTTTAAAAGCTTGGTTTGAGCCGGGCAGTGGTGGCGCATGCCTTTAATCCCAGCACTTGGGAGGCAGAGGCAGGTGGATTTCTGAGTTTGAGGCCGGCCTGGTCTACAGAGTGAGTTCCAGGATAGCCAGGGCTACACAGAGAAACCCTGTTTCGAAAAAACAAAAACTAAAAAACAAACAAAAAACAAACAAACAAACAAACAAAACCCCCTTGGTTTGTGTGTGTGTTTCTGTCAGGCTACACTTTAGGAATCTTATGGTGACAGGATGAAGTGACAGTGTCAGTGCGGAGGATTTCAATAGTCCAGGGGAGTTAGAAGGAAGGCCTGCAACTAGGGAGGGGCACAGGCCTTACAAAGTTTTGATGGTAATTTTAGAGCGATGCCTAGATTTTTCTTTCCTTTTCTTTCTTTCTTTCCTTCCTTCCTTCCTTCCTTCTTTCTTTCTTTCTTTCTTTTTTTTGTTTTTTGTTTTTTGAGACAGGGTTTCTCTGTGTAGTCCTGGCTATCCTGGAACTCACTCTGTAGACCAGGCTGGCCTAGAACTCAGAAATTCGCCTGCCTCTGCCTCCCAAGTGTTGGGATTAAAGGCGTGCACCACCACTGCCCGGCTAGATTTTTCTTTGGTAGATTCTTGTATTTTTTTTTTCTAGGTAGAAAATGATAAAGGTCTGGGCATAACAGTGCATGTCTATGATCTCAGCACTCAAGAGGCAGAGGCAGGAACATCTTTGTAAGTTTAAGGCCAGCCTGCTCTACAGAAACAGTTCCAGGACAGCCAGGTCTACATAGACCCTGGCTCAAAACAACAACCCCAAACCCAACACCACCAACAAAACTAAAACAAAGAAACCGATAAACGGGCAGTCTGTTGGCATGAAATGCTAAAAACGGTTCAAAAATGTCTTAGGTAAAGATGATTTGCAAACCAAAGTTGTGGGACTGAATAGTTCTGCAGTTCAGTGACAGTTTTCTTCAAGAACTGGATAAGCTCAACAACCTACAGAGGTTTGGTGGCAGAACTGAGTACTCAATGACTCCAAACGGTTTTGGAGGAAAAAAAAAAGATTAGCAAATCAAGGCAGGGTATTTTCTTCTTCTTTGGAGAAGAAGTTCCTATTTTCAAAGTTCTTCTAGTGAAGTCTGAAGATTAGGGAAGTGAAGGTGACCGGGAGCTGAATTTCTGTTCCCTGTGTGCAAGTGGCCGGCGCTCACAGCTGTCTCACAGCCTCTGAGGGCGGGGCCTCGTGCTGGCAGGGCACTCCGCTGAGCTATAGAATATCTTTAAAGTACATATTCAGTTCCCAGAAAAGGAATTACTCTTCAGAAAGAAAAAGATCAAAAGGAAGTTACTTGTTTTTTTTTAAAAGGTTAAAAGGTCTGGAAGAAGCGCTTGAGACGCGAGTGTCCCTAACCTAAAACCTTTCTGGGACTTAATCAGTCTGCAAAACGTGGCAGCACCGGAATTCCCAACCTTTGATGGTTATAAACACCAAGGAGATTTTTTAATCCCTGCACTCGGGAGGTAGACGCATGGGTATCTCTGTGAGTTCAAAGCCTCTCTGGTCTACACAGCAAGTTTCAGGGCAGCCTAGGCTACATGGTGAAACAAGATGGTGGAGTAGGGATATAGCTCAAGGTGGGGTGCTTGTCTAGGATGTGTGAGGTCGTAGGTTCAATTCCAATCACCACAAAAACCAAACCAAACCAAACCAAACCAAACCAAACCAAACCAAACCAAACCAAACCAAACCATAGCCGGGCAGTGGTGGCGCACGCCTTTAATCCCAGCACTTGGGAGGCAGAGGCAGGAGGATTTCTGAGTTCGAGGCCAGCCTGGTCTACAGAGTGAGTTCCAGGACAGCCAGTGCTACACAGAGAAACCCTGTCTCCAAAAACAAAAAACAAACAAAGAAACAAAAACCCACTAAGGGGTAGAAAATGAACGTTGGCTTTCCTTCTCCATCTTCCCACAATATGAGGCAGATAACTTGAAGCTCAACATGACTCCTTCCATCCCTACCTGTCTTGATGCGAGCACAACCATGACTCACTCCCAGAGGCAACAAGCCCAAGCCAACAAAGAACATGGACGGCAAGGCTTCTCTTCTGCTTAGTGCGCAGGTTCTACCTTGGACCCCACCTCTTTCCTCCCACCCCTCGCTCCTCCGGCAGAGGGCGCAGGCACTGAGGTTTCCTTTGGGCTCCGCCCCGGGAGGCCACGCCCCGTCGCGGAGAGTCGGGGCGGGGAGCAGTGGGCGCGGAAACTTGGTCGAGGCTTTCCGGGAGCCGCTGGGCACGCGGGTGCGCGCGAGCTCGTGCGCCAGTTGGAGGGTCGCTGCGGCGTTCCGGGCTTGCTCGTCTCCGGCGCGCGCGCCCGCGTTGCGCTGTCCGCGCTCGGGCTCGCGCCCGCGTCCGCGTCCGCGCAGGGGCGCGCCTCCGGGCGGGCGCCTCCCTCTCACTCCCTCGGCTGCGAGCGCCGGCGGTGGCTGCCGGAGAGGCCCCTCCTTCTCGCCCCGCTCCATTCCCTCGCTCGCGGCCGAGCGGGCTCCCGACCCTCCGCTGGCCATGGCCGGCAACGTGAAGAAGAGCTCGGGCGCCGGCGGCGGCGGCTCCGGGGGCTCGGGAGCGGGCGGCCTGATCGGGCTCATGAAGGACGCCTTCCAGCCGCACCACCACCACCACCACCTCAGCCCGCACCCTCCCTGCACGGTGGACAAGAAGATGGTGGAGAAGTGCTGGAAGCTCATGGACAAGGTGAGCGGCCTGCGGGCGCGCGCGGCGCCGGGTGGGCGTGGGCGGTGGGGCGAGCGCGAGGGCTGCCGTTGGCAGTTGGGAACGTTTGAGGTGTGGGGGAGCCAGACAAAGTGGGGGGGGGGGGGGGGGGAGGGCTGGTCACCGCGCCACCCGGGCGGAAGTGCGATGGGGGGTGCGGAGCTTGGGGATGTGGGTCGCCGAGCGGGCCCCGGAGGTGGGCCTGAGGGATGTGTGTTGGATGGATCTGCCGGCTGGGGCTCCGGGTTGGAAGAGGAGTCGCCCAGGGTCAGGAGGTGGCCGGGCTGACTGCGGTCAGGGTGAGTTTATAGGGTGTTTTTTTTTTTTCTCATTAAGATGTAGCACACAGATCAAAGAAAAGAGGTGGGTTTTTAAATGGTGGTAGGGATGGAACTTCCCTTCGCCGCTAAGGATGGCTTAAGTTTTTTGTCTTGCAAAGTGTTGGATGTAATCCGTTGCTGCTGCCGAGATAGGCACTGGTTAAACCACAAGTTCTGGTTAGAACCATTATCTTTCGAAAGGTGGACTGGCTGGGCGAGCTCAATTGCAGTCTGACTTCTACAGAACTTCCTCCTCGCACTCGGTGCTTTTCGCCGGGTTGTAGTGTTTGATTTTTTTTTTGTAACGGGCCTACCTGCTTATTATTTCAGGACCCCTTTGATAGCAGTTATAAAATCAGGTGCGGGGGTGGGCTTCCTTATGGGCTTGCCCTTTAGGTCTGTCATTCAGGAGAATCTTACTTCCTTACGGTTGTGCCTGTAGGTTGTAGTCTTGTAGTTGGCCCCAGTCCTTAAAAGTGAACACACAGTCTTGTTTTCACATTTTGTTGGAAGTCAGTGCTCTGTTTCCTTCATTTTTACCAGTTATTAATTTTTCAATATTCCTATTGCAGACAAACGTGATTAGGAGCCCCCGGCATGTAAGTGGATGGTGTTATTTCCTCCGGGGTAAATTTGGTTTTCTTTGGTTCCTCTCTGGGCCTAGGTTCCTCTTCTGTAAAGTTCTCTATGGGTTGTTTTGGACTACAAACAGCCAGTAAAATTATTACGAAGCACTTGGCCAACGGAACTGCTATATAAATACTTAATAAGTCCTGTGTGAGAATTAACACTCTTGCACTGCATACCAGTGGTTTCAGAGCCACTTTTCCAGGGCTGATTTTTTTTCCCTACATTAAGTAATTTGAATTGTGGGAGCCTCTCCTCCTTGGTCCCAATTGGTATTGCAGTTAATGGCATAAGTATGCTGATTATTTTGGTGTTGTGGGACTGACTTTATTGGAAATTAAAAAACCACCATAAAATATGGTGATATCTTGTTTTTCTTTTTAAAAATTTGTATCTTATTGTATTACTTTGGATATTTTGTGTGCATGTATGACTGTGTACCGCGTGTATACAGTGCCCTGGAGTCCATAAGATGTTAGAGCCTCTGGAACTGGAGTTGTGGATGGTTGTGAGCTACCTACCGTATGGGAGCTGGGAATTGAACCTGTGTCTTCTGCGTGAACAACAAGTGCTTTAACCACTGCACAGTCTCTCCAGGCCCAGTATACCCAAGGCTGCCTGGAGATGCCAGGAAATGAATCCTTGTTTTTGTTTGTTTGTTACTCATTTTACATCCTGCACACCACTGCCCTCCTCCTGGACATCCCCTCCCCCAACCTCCCCCTTCCCTTCTTCTCTGAGCAGGTGGGTGTCACCCCTCGGTATTCCCCAACTCTGGCACCTGAAGTCTCTGCAAGGGTATCTTTCTCTCCCACTGAAGGCAGCCAAGGAGCTATGAATTCTGGGGATGCTGCCTTTTGTGATCAGGCAGGAACCCTGAGTGACAGGGACGCCAACCCACCCACAAAACTTTTGACCCCAACATTCATCCATGTTTGTTTCTTGTGACAGGCTTTCACTATATCTCTCAGGCCAATCTGGAACTCACACCAGTCCTCCTGCCTCAGCCTGTCATGTGCTGCTTAGATCCATGCAATGACATCTTTGCAAAAATATTGTCTTTACAATCTGAGGTTTGTGGGTTTACATTTTGGAAGCTTAGCTGTTGGGGACTCCTGGTAGAGAAAAAGAGTTTCATTTCTAGTTAGTTTCCCATATAGGATGTGTGAGTGGGTTCACTGTATTGGAGTGATCCTGATTAGTGACTTCCGTAAAATAAGGAGCTTTAAAACTATGTTTCTGCTAATGACAGATAGATTATAGCTGGTCACATTCTACACAGCAGTCCAGTAAACCCTCCCTTATTCCGTTGTATGCTCTTTTTGTTTTTCGAGACAGAGTTTCTCTGTGTAGTCCTGGCTGTCCTGGAACTCACTCTGTAGACCAGGCCGGCCTCGAACTCAGAAATCCCCCTGCCTCTGCCTCCCAAGTGCCGGGATTAAAGGCGTGCGCCATCACTGCCGGGCCATCGTATGCTCTTATCACTCGAGAGTATTGAAATTTGAGTTTTTCTAGGGATGTTCAATCACTTTCAGTCTCAAAGTTTTGATTGAAACTGTTTAGATTTTGGTCATTTCAAGGACAGCAGGCTTCTAGCTTTACCATTCTAGTCTAGGAAGGCAGGATGTTTTATTCTTCAGTGCTTGTCTCTTGAGGATGGTTTCAGCAGTGTGTCCTATAACAACACTTCACTAATTGTGCTGAAATGAAAGCCCAGTCCTTTCCCAACTTAGGCCTGCAGCTTTGTACTACTTTTCAGACTTCCATTTTTTCGTAATCCTTCCGGATTGTTACTTAATATCTAGTACTTGCAAGTTGCAAGATTCCTTTACCCTTGATGTTTTGGGGTTTCTTTTTATTTTATTTTTTTAAAGATTTATTTATTTATTTAATGTATATGAGTACACTGTAGCTGTCTTTAGACCCACCAGAAGTGGGTATTTAGATCCTATTACAGATGGTTGTGAGCTACCATGTGGTTGCTAGGAATTGAACTCAGAACCTCGGGAAGAGCAGTCAGTGCTCTTAACCACTGAGCCATTTCTCCAGCCCCTTTACTTTATTTTTTAAGGTCTTTTAAGAATATACATTATTGTGGCTGGGCGGTGGTGGGGCACACCTTTAATCCCAGCACTTGGGAGGCAGAGGCAGGCGGATTTCTAGTTCGAGGCCAGCCTGGTCTACAGAGTGAGTTCCAGGACAGCCAGAACTACAGAGAGAAACCCTGTCTTGAAAAGCCAAAAAAAAAAAAAAAAAGAATATACATTATTTTGGGTGTATGTGTGTGGACTTTTTATGCATTCCATAGCCCGTGTGTGGCCATCTAAGGACAGCTTGTGGGAGTCAGTCACTACCTCCATCAAGTGAGTCCCCTCGTTACCACTTACTGCCCCTCCCCCGTCTTTAATTGGGGTCATTTTACCTTTTTGTTTCATATGTATGCATGTTTTCCCTGTGGGTATTCTGTGTATGCAGCTCATGTGTGCCTGCTGTCTATGAGAGGGGCAGGAGGAGTCCGACTCTCCTGGAACTGGAGGAACAGCCTGATGTGAACTCCGGTGCAGGTGCTGGCAACTGAACCCAGGCCTGCTGCTAAGAGTAGCCAGTGCCCTTAACTGCTGAGCTATCTCTGTGGCTCCTCATTGCATCTTTCTGACTGACGTGTGAGATTCTGTAGCTGAGTCCTGAGTCATCACTTCATCCCTGTTTTGTTCTTGTGAAGATTAGGTGTGTGTTATTCCAGCCTGCTCGTCACCAAGCTAGCCCTGGGGACCGCTGGTCTTCTCCTTCCTCCAGTTTTGGATGTCTGCTGCTGATCTAAGCTGTGGGCTCTGCTCAACACAGGCCCACGTGAGACTTAAGCTTGTTGGGAAAAAAAAAAGATGCTTGTGTTAGAATGCCCTCTAAACAAAAATAGATATGAGCACGGTTTTTGTTTGTTTGTTTTTTTTTTGGTTGTTAGCTCCCCCCCCCCTTGTTTTACCCTGTTATTGTAGTAAACATTTGCAGAATTATTTCTCTGTAAACAAGCTGGCTAGTACTTCAAAGACTAGGCAGAGAAGAGAGAATGGAAAGAAGTTTCAAATGGTCTTAACATGTAAAATTTAAATCACCAAGATATTTAATTTAGAGAGATGTAAAATGCCATTGTAAAAGTACAGCCGGAGTTGTCAGACATTTCTGGTAAAGGGAAAGATAGTAAATGTTTTGGTCTTGCTGGTTAGCATGCTTAATCCCAAATCATTTGTTGTTATTTTAAGGTTTTAAACTTAAAAAACTATTCTTAGCTTGGAGATTTTTCTGAGGAATATGCAGTCTTGCAGGCCATAATTTTCTCCTCTAAAGTGGTAGGTTCTTAGGTATCACTGTAGCCCAGGCTGTCTTAGAACCGTTGTGTAGCCCAGGCTGGCCTTGCTTGAACAGCAGCCCTCCTGTATTACAGGCAGGCATCCCATATGTAGTTTTCAGTTTTTTGAGATTAAAAGAAGTATTTTCAAATAAGGCTGGTTTGGGGGCAGTGAGACGGCTAAGCAGATAAAGGAAAGACCCTTGCTGCCTGTCGAGTTAGTCTGACGACCGACTGTTGTTTGAGCCTAGGATGCACAAGGTGGAAGGAGACCCAAGTCCTGCACGCTGTTCTTGGAACACGGCACACATACAGGCACACGTGCACACGCTCAATAATACAAATGAAGAAAGTGATTTCCTTTCCTTATGCCATCTTTCCTCGGCCCTACCTGCTCCCTGCTCCAAAAAGAACGTGGGGTAAATTAGTATATTTGGAAGTTAAATGTCTTTAGTGTTTTCACTGGACTCGTTGCCCTTCCCGCCTTCTCTCTGTTACCTCCTTCCATGCATTTGCTCGCTGAGTTCCAGGCAGGTGCTAGGTATTAGGTTCACATGCTCGCTCCGGGGGATTGGGAGTGGTAAGGGTCTCCTGAAGTGGTCTCTCCAGAGAGACCTGGGGTCTCTAAGGTTTTAAACACAAGACATAGTTGTTCTCAGTTTATCTTAGTCTCTGAGGCTCTTGGGCGT